TCGCATTCTATAAAACACACACACACACAATAGCTAAAAGAACACAGAGTAACGAACATAAACAAACACACACACACACACACCAGCCGACCTCGCCTCACCCCAGCTGTGTCCGCCAACCCATTAGTTACCGGGATGATGTTGCATCAACATAAAGTTGACTCGTTCAAGATGACAATCCGGTTCCGTCCCGAGACGGAACTTTCCGTCCAGTGACTTGCTCCTTGCATCCCGTCCCATTCTTCCCGTTCCTCTTCCAGTAGTCTTCCTGCTTGTGCCTCTCTGTCCCTGGCTTGTGGACGGTCTCTCCTCTCACTCTACTCTCACCAGATCACCAGTAAGGGTGTGGCTGCCAGAGACAAGTTTTTCTAAATGTGTAGCAATGTAAGATTTGGCTGAAACTCACGCGTGTGCACAAACATGTATTCACTCGCACTCTCATACACACACACACAGGATCCTCCACGTCTGTGTTTACATATGATGCTGAACTGATGTAAATCAGAGAGAACACGGGTGGAAATTAGATATTCAGATCTCCATCACATTCAGGACAGTCTCTGTCTGTCTGTCTGTCTCTCTCTCAAATAAACAAAGTTTCATGATCGTATAAGGTGTACGTACTTGAACATTGAACCATAAATGGTTATCTAGTACACACAGAGCACCTTGAGAGGCAATGGAGTGAGCACACACAGCCTCCTGTTATCTCCCTCTTCCGGATTGTAGCTTATTATGCATATAATATTTGTAAAAATGTAGCACTCATTTCGTGTTGCTTTGTAAATAGACTGAACTCTGTATAATATCAAACTGAGAATAAGATATACCCAATAAAATGTATGATAAATAATTGTATTAGCACCAATGCATGAATGAACACTCAAGTGTCATGTGATCTTCTATGAGGGGCACTCAAGTTCCTCTTTACTAAAGGTCAGACAGAGACAGTTTTGCCCTTAGGGTTCGATTGAGGTGGGATGGAAAGTTTTGCAACCTGACCTACAACATTGCCTGTTCTGTAACCCGTATTTACAAGGGGTAGTAAAACGTTGTAAGACCACCTGTTGGGTCTTGTCAGGAAAGCCCTGGGGTAAATACTGGTTTAGAAATAGGGTGGCTGATCTATGGAAGAAATTGCTAAGTAACATAATAGATATGGGATTTGTTGATTGTTTCAACCGTGAGTATGAGTATGAGCCAATTGTTTCAACCGTAGGTTATAGACATATATGAATGAGTATGGGAGGGTATAAATAGGAACTGCCTCGTATGAGCTCATAGGGCCTTCTGCAGTTTCCTTAATGCTTGTGTTCTTATGTTATTTGTTGCGGGCTCTTGCCGACGTCTCAGATGACGTGCACTTAACATTTATGTCGGAGGAAATTTACGAGTGTCTCGGAAAACATTTGCAGTGGAAGGCTGGCATTTGGTGGCATTTAGACGCTAGTTATCCAAACTTCTTTTGCCTCGAACCTCAATTCATCCCATAACCCTAGTTCTACCCAGATGTGGGCGTGGTGAGAGCGTGGGTGTGGGCGTGTTGAGGATGCAGGCGGCAACTTGCGGGCAATCCCTTACTAAACGACCACAATTTATAATCTTTTATAACCTTGGATCCGCAGTCCTTCCTAGAGTAAAGAGGTCAACCATTCTCATGCGAACGGCCCAATGTGGACCACAGGTGAGCACAGCTCAGGGGCTTCAAGGTCCCAGCCGGCCTCAGCCCCTGGGGTTTTGAGGCAGACCTATGAAATAAAGAAGACCTTTGACCCCATAATGATGTCCAGCATGTGTCAGCATGATGGATATAAAAAATGGAGCAGCGTATATTATATATATGTATATATATATATATATATATATATATATATATATATATATATATATATATATATATATATATATGTATATATATATATATATATATATATATATGTATATATATATATATATATATATATATATATATATATATATATATATATATATATATATATATATATATATATATATACCATGATTTCCAGATAACTCTCTGAGACATGATGGCTTTGCAACGCGTTCGTGACATGTTGCCGGAGTTGCATAAATACGGGCGTTGCATTCATCCTTGGGTAACACCTCGTTTGCTGGAGATATGAGGACGGTGACTTATACCTCTCACGATCGTATATCTGCAATAAGATCTTCAATCAGCTTGTTGAGTTCAATGCCTTAGGGCAGTGTGTTTGAGGTGGTACTTGCTTGAATTAACCTGAGTTTATCTGAAGATCACTATCCCTCCCTTGTGATCTCGACGGGGACAAAAAGCCGTCGTTTTTCTAAGACTCCCCCATTGTTCTTGAGGATCTTCCTTCTATCGGGATTATAAACTAATGTCCTGGCATTAACGGGTAGGCAGTTCCATGAGTTTATGAACCAATGGGTGAAAAAGCATCTCCTGTTTTCTGTGTTATATTGTGGCTTGTTGAGCGTGAAGCTGTTACCCCTTGTATGTGTTACATCTGACCTTGTAAAGAAGTAGACTAGATTAATAACCACCACCTTGTTCAATATTTTAATGATCTCGATGAGATCACTTGAAAGGAACTGTGTGAGGCAGTTCTTGTAGGAGAGGCAGCACCTTCGGGGGATTGTGGGAGGCATGTTGCATGTGGAGGCAGCACACATGAATCAATAATACATATTATCTGCTAGTTTTTTTCCTCCAATACACAAGTGTTCATACCAAATTACATATGCTAGTAGATTTTAACCATGCTAAACCAGTGTTCGTACCAATATTCATATGCTGTAGGCTAAATAATCTTGTCTGCTGCCAATGATTTTATAAAGTTTTCACATAAATCTTAGTTTCCATCTGTTTTTTTTATTTCATGGCAAGACTCGTAGAGAAGGAGAGTAACAACTTTTGTTGAGGATCAATTTTTTCTCGTTTTCGCAGGTGGGTACAGAAGCAGGCGCCTTCTGATTTCTGTTGGCAGTATGAGAGCTTTCTTTTCCCATAGCTCATGGGAAGGGTAAGGCTTCCCAAAACCTTTCCCTACTGGCTTTCCCCGGAGCACGACCCGCCAATCGGGTAACAACAAGCTCCCCAATTACTACTGGATGACCAGATGTGAACGGTTAATGATTCGCGCCCAGACAATCCCTGGCCAGGACTCGAACCTAAACCACTACGCCAGAAAGAAACTTGTCTTGTGTATTAATATTTAGTTTTCTTTTCTTTACCAATTTCAAACATTATTAATTTACTTAACTACATTAGAAACTACTGGGAACAAAATAACATAGGTTTAGCATAGCAAACACATTATAAAAATTAAATATATTTTGTTGTGTATTCTATTTATCAGCGGCTGGATTGAGAGCATTCTGTAGGCCTGGATGGAATGCTAAACTAAAATGTACTTGCCGGCTGTACATTACGTGCTAAAATGTACTAGCACTTTTGGCAGACTTTGAAATCCTCCAGAGGTTGATAGGCCTTAACAGTCCTACAGAGGTTGGCAGGCCTTAATAATCCTCCAGAGGTTGATTGGCCTAGAATGTAACACCCACAACAAACCAATCAGAAAACGAAATTTACATCACATGCAAAATTTTATTGCACATCTGAAGTGTTTCCACGACTCTGAAATCTATGCCAATTGCTTAGGCAACACGACGCTTCGTAAAAAAAATATGGTTCGTCATACAAAAACTTGTCCCAGGCTTGACGCGTGGCTCAGAGCAAAACGTATGGCAACAGTTGGGTAAGTTTCAGGTCTTCGTGACAAGTCTGTTCTTCGTGATAACAGCATGTTTTGCGTGTGACCAGTCTGTTCTTCGTGATAACAGCATGTTTTGCGTGTGACCAGTCTGTTCTTCGTGATAACAGCCTGTTTCGCGTGTGACCAGTCTGTTCTTCGTGATAACAGCATATTTTGCGTGCGACCAGTCTGTTCTTCGTGATAACAGCATATTTTGCGTGCGACCAGTCTGTTCTTCGTGATAACAGCATATTTTGCGTGCGACCAGTCTGTTCTTCGTGATAACAGCCTGTTTCGCGTGTGACCAGTCTGTTCTTCGTGATAACAGCATATTTTGCGTGCGACCAGTCTGTTCTTCGTGATAACAGCATATTTTGCGTGTGACCAGTCTGTTCTTCGTGATAACAGCATGTTTTGCGTGTGACCAGTCTGTTCTTTATATAAAAATAATGAACTATCATCAATATTTATTAAGTTCCCAAGTAAAATTTTCTGAACTGGAATCTATAATATGATCTAAAGGTAAATTTGTTTAGAAAAGCTAGGATTCTTCGATTTATAGTTCACTTTACAAAATAAATTCTTGAAACTAATGTATTTAAATATTTTAAGAATGTTAAAGAATCAAGGTTTTAGTACCAGGAACCAAGAATGTTACTCACATTTAGTAATTAATTAATTCTTCATTAATTATAGCATAATAAGTAGTAATGATAACACTAAATCATGATATTTTTATTTCAACATAGATACTTTCGTGCAATTTCACTAATCCTCGTATTTTTGTTTAACATATTAGTTGATTCAAAATACTTAAGCTTTTAAAAGAATATATATCGTAATTTTTCTTTGCTTTACACAAATATCTAAAATCTTTTAGAGTTAGTATCTTATCATGTGAAAATTACTATTATGGATTTTTTCGTGATTTATATTTTGCAATATAGATAAGATCAACAGCCAAAATTTTCACGTGAAACTTTCATGAGGAAGACAGAAGAAAGGAACCAGATACACTCAAACTCAAAGAGTTATCTTCAGAAAGTTCTTCAATGAGAGTTTCTGTATCTAAGAATTATTTTGTTAAATGATGTCGTATTCAGAACTTAATTTAGCCTTCGGAATTGAATGTGCATCAATTTTACAAAAAGGCGCTTGGAAGTAGCCAACAAAATCTTGCCCTTGACCGAGAAACCACAGCCGTTCTGTATATAAACAGAGCATGACAGAGGGTCTGCAGTCAGTTCATCGTGACAACACAGCAATCAACATGAAGACTCAGGTAGCTCTCATATACTCTCAGTCCTTCTTTGATCACCATTCAAATACATTATCAAACAAGCTAAAGGTATTAATTCACAACAGTTATATATATAATATATCATATTACAGATTTTGATCGTGTTGGGCGTGGTAGCCTTGGCAGCCGCAGACAGCAGGGAATCGTTCTCCTATGGTCCCCCTCGGGTGAGTGTCAGTAATTATTAACTTGTCTTTAACAAACAGATTGATAAGCCTATTTTGAAGATTATTTTGATACGTTCAAACAGATTGTTTATAACCACAAATGTCTTAGCTAGTGCCTAGAACCACTTAGAGAAAAAATAGAATAAGCGTCTGTAACTTGTTTCTCATTCATTCATTAACTTAATAAACAAGAGCTGAAACCTGCAATCAGTACAATTATAATTATTATGAATTAAGTAGTATTTGTACCATTATTACTGACGTCATTTCCTTATTTACAAATTTAAGTGCGATAATAAAATCAGAAACTTGCGGTGTTGCTCATTGAGACAAGAGTCTTTACATATGATTATTTTTCCTATTTAAAGCGTTACTCAGCGGAGTCTTTCGAGTCTAGTGAGGCTCAGTACAACTTTAACTATGCTGTGAAACACGAAGACTCTGGCAACGACTTCGGTCACCAGGAGACCCGCGACGGTGACGACACCAAGGGGTCGTACTACGTGCAGCTTCCCGACGGTCGTCTGCAGACCGTGACTTACTTCGTGGACGGTGACTCAGGCTACATCGCTGATGTCAAGTACGACGGTGAGGCTCGCTACCCAGACTCCGACGAATCCAGGGAGGCTCCCCGCTACGCCGCTCCCAGGCCCCGGTACTCTGCTCCGGACTCCCATGAGTCCCGTGAGGCTCCAGTATTCGTCCAACCCAGACCTCGTTACTTCTTCGGTGACTCTAATGAGTCCAAGTAATCACCATCAACGTTCATATTCCTCATCGAATCACTAGTCTTAACAGACCAACTATTTATTAAATGAAATGTAAATATTTCAATTGTGCAAGTAAATAATTCCTATAATATTTATTCAAATTATTTGTATGAAATAAAGACAGCATAGAGAATGGTAATTTTCTTAGTTGCCCCTCATTAGAAATTTAACGCAAATCTTATAAACAAACATGATAGGTCTGTAACTACCTGTATAATGTAAAAGGATGAGCTTCTTGCTTCTCACTTCGCAAGAGGCAAGTTACTGCGCCAAACCGTTCTCTCCCTGAGCTACTTTCCCTTGCCAATTCTGCTTACCGTTCTGTTATATAACAAACGGGAAAAACGTATTTGAAACAAATGTTAGCAAGGCTGTGAATTTCTACACCAATACAACACTGTGAATTTCTACATCATAAAAATATGTGCACTTCCACTGGCAGCAGTCCTCCAAGCTTACAATGAACAGCAAACTTCACAACTAATCTAGAAGGCCTGGCTTGTACTAGTCAACTGAAAGCAAAGCAATACATCTTTAGAAAACTATAGGTTAGCATTCTTTCATTCAGTAAGGAATATATGCACCAAGAGGTGTACTCAACTCGGTGTATATACACTGAGAGTTTACTTTAGTTTAAAGACTATGTTCAGGATTACATTATACTTACTGGCTGATCTGTTAGCAATTGTGACAGTCTAAACAACACTCCAGAGGTTGATAGGCATTAAGTCCAACGCCATGCCATTTAGTCTTGGAAAGATATTTGAAAATTTCCTTGTTGAGACATTAACAAAAAATTCTTTATAAAAACTACATAATAAGTAAAAAGCTATGTGGAATTAGAGATAAAAGGGTATCAGATCTGCTACTACAGTTGGCCGCAAAACGAACCGAGAGACCTGATTGTGGAGAGAATGTATGACATAGCTGTTTGTTGTTTTAAATTTAGCTACTCAGGATGAAATGTACATATAGCACGGGCTATGGTGAACCCGTAAATGACATAGCTCTTGATGGAACATTTTATAATGTCTGTTATAAAGGAGAGACGTGTAAACTTAGTAGACATGGAGTTCATGAAAATCTTCTGCACCTCACTGAAAACTATTTAAATAATCGAACCTTTCAGGTTGTCTTACGGGCTTTTCATGCCCCTGTCTCACCTCTTGATTGGCTTCATCTTCATTAATTAACCAATTCAGGTTGTTAGAGTTACAGCCCCGCTTCTGTGCCAGGTAAGTCCACTACGGGCTGACTATAGCCCGTGCTACTTTGGATTTTTTTCCGAGTAGCTGAATCTAAAACAACATCTAGGATGTAAAGTATACCTGTGTGCCTCTCCGACACACCTCCTGTGCCAGGTATGTACGATGGGCTGACTATAGCCCGTGCTGCTTGGAACTTTTTGTTCCGAGTAGCTGAATCTAAAACAACAATCCAAGTTGTGAACAATCAGTCCTCATGTGAACATACAACAGAGGCAAGTACCCAAACGCAGTGTGGTTGAAACTCTCCTATGGTATTTTTTCCATGAAACTAATATCAGATTCAAGTGCCCTTGTAGATGATTGTACAAGGATTTTTTAAGGAGACGAGAAAGATGTAACTCGCATCAATAAAATCCTTAAAACTATCTTATCTTGGGGACGACTATGGCAAGTCCTTGTTGCCACAAATAAAACTTCGGCTGATGGTCATCTCACGGAGGGACTAAATATATGGTTCTGTCATAAGACTACACAAGAAAACACTGATATGCATCCCTTTATTTACCACATTATGGAGTGGACATTTATGAAAAATTTTTCCTTCCTCGTATATGTAAAAACTCTAGCTATCAAATGAGATCTGTAATGGAGTACTTACCACTTATTTAGGATTACTGTCCTCAATTTATCTAAAGTGGTTAAATATAATTCAAGATATGGCTGCTCATCTAGTGAGAATCGAAGTTAATTTACTTGACCCAATACGATTCATACACACTCCCCACCACAATATATACAGCTGAACTGTCAGTTCTACAAAGTTAAAAATTGCATACCATTAATTTAGCTTCCGTGCAAGTACCTCATGAACAAACTGTAAAGCAAGATTTGCGATATGTAATTACCAGACAGTTGTCCCCTTTGCACAGAGTAATTTCAACGCTCGTTTCACCCATAATATACAAACTCACGTAAAACATTTGGTAACTTGATGGCAACCAAAACACACTGTAACATCAACTTTGTACACACTCGGTTGCGCTTGCGGGGGTTGAATTTTGGCTATTTTGTAATTGTGTTTTCATCTTTGTAATGCCATATTTTGGATGCCATATTTTTCACATATCTTACGAGGGATAATTTTTCACAAATTTCCACTCCAAATGTCGTATATGACGTGTTTCGGTGTTTTGGTTTGGCTCTTAGTTAATGTGCAGCAAAAAACACAATAGAATTCAATCAAAATATAGAGTACTCGCATTGCTACAGAAAACGGAAATTCTATCATACAAAACTTTAGATTCTAAAGACGTGTAAGACGAACATAATAATAATAATAGTTATAATTAATAAGAGGATTTGATTATAATGTGTTCAGAGTCTGAATATACATTTCTGCTCCCAGTTTTGTGGTTCTGCCTTTACTGCGTATTCCAAATTCCTCTTCACTACCTGGATTCCAAACAAAAGGATCGAAATGGAATATAAGCCTACATGGCTATAAAATTTCTTTCAAGAGGTCTGGCCTTGCGAGGTATCTGACCTTGCAAGAAAAGAGCCACGTTGCTGCCTTAGATGTATTCGCCTCTACTGACCCAGATCAAGCTAATGTACCATCTAGCAGATGGTAATTTTTGACGATCTTCCTTTCGAAACCAAAGTCAAATATTAACATTTAGTGTTTTTCACTAGTCCTGGGATAAGGTGTATGGAAGAGCTTTTATAGCAACAAAACTATTTATTCCAACGTTCGCTGTAGAAAAGATCTAACTGGATATACTGCCAGACAGTTTCCCGAGAATCAATAATAAACTGAAGGCAATATCTCACATAAGGACAGTGTTAGCAGTTAACTTACTGATGAAGTCCTGTAGTGCAGTATGGTCACCGCAATTGGTTTCCAACCTGACGTCCCCTGGTTCGATTACCGCAGCAGGGTGGAGACGACTGGGAGGCCTTCATTTCTCCCGATGACGCTGTATAAGAAATGTTTCAAAATCACTGGGAAATACTGAGCAACAGCTTGCCTTGACCGAGAGGCCGTAGCGCCGTTCTGTATATAAACAGAACACGACAGAGGGTCCACAATCAGTTCCTTGTAATAACACAGCAAGCAACATGAAGACTCAGGTAGCTCTCATACGCTCTCAATGCATGTTCTATCAGATTTTTAAATTAATTATCAAACAGGATAACGATTGCTACGCTCAACTTATATATATATTATTTTAATATGCAGATCTTGATGGTGTTAGGCATGGCAGCCCTATCAGCCGCAGACAGCAGGGAAAGGTTCTCCTATGGTCCCCCTCGGGTTAGTGTCAAATTTTCGTTCTTATCTCTTAAGGTCCCCCTCGGATCAGTACCAGTAACTGAGAACTGTGTTCTCAACAATGCACTTGATAAACCTGTTTTGAAGATTACTATTGTGATAGTTTTAAACAGATTCTAATTAAACATAAATGAATTTACTAGTGTATCGAAACACTTAAGAAAAAGTAAAACGTGCCTGTAATTTATTTCTCATTTATATTCAAAAGCTTAATGAATATAAACTTAAACCTGCAATCAGAACAATTGTAATTACCATGACCAAAGTAATATTTCTAACAATATTACTAGCTTCATTTATTTTTAAAATATTTTATTTTAGTAAGAGAGCAAAATGAGGAACTTGTGTTGTTTCTCATTGACACAAGAGTATTTATATATAATTATTTTCTTTATTCAAAGCCTTACTCAGCGGAGTCTTTTGAGTCTAGTGAGGCTCAGTACAACTTCAACTATGCTGTGAAACACGAAGACTCCGGCAACGACTTCGGTCACCAGGAGACCCGCAACGGTGACGACACCAAGGGGTCGTACTACGTGCAGCTTCCCGACGGTCGTCTGCAGACAGTGAATTACTTCGTGGACGGTGACTCAGGCTACATCGCTGATGTCAAGTACGACGGTGAGGCTCGCTACCCAGACTCCGACGAGTCCAGGGAGGCTCCCCGCTACGCCCCACCCAGGCCCCGGTACTTCGCTCCAGACTCCCAAGAGTCTCGTGAGGCTCCAGTATTCGTCCAACCCAGACCTCGGTACTTCGCTCCAGACTCCCACGAGTCTCGTGAGGCTCCAGTATTCGTCCAACCCAGACCTCGTTACTTCTTCCGTGACTCTAATGAGTCCAAGTAATCACCACCAACGTTCATATCGAATTACCACAGTCTTGACGGACCAACTATTTATTAATGGATATGTAAATATTTAAATTGAACAAGTAAATTATTCCTATATTATTTATTCAGATATATTTGTATGAAATAAACAGAGCATAATAAATCATAATTTTCTTAGATTTATCCTCATTAGATATTTGACACAAAACTTGTAAAGAGACCTGATGGCTCTCTTATGGATTATGGATTATGAGACCTGCATAATGAAGAAGGCTGAGCGTCTTGCTTCTCGATTTCCAAAATGAAAGTTACGAAGCCATATCGTTTGCTCCCTGAGCTACCTTCCCTTGCTAATTATCGCTTATCTTTCTAAAACAATCCAAAAAATGGAAACAAAAACTAAAGTTTTTTTCCTGAAACGAATGTTAGCAAAGCCTTAGGACAAGATTGTAAGTCTTTACTTGTTATCAACATGTGCCTACCTCTTGCAGCCATTTTCCAAAGTTGCATTGATCATTAACCCTGGCCACTAAACGATATTACATTTCGGTATACAAAGACTTACTCTTCCATGTCTTTTAGGTGTATTGGATAAAATATCCATATATCTAAATAAAAAATGTCCCTGCGGCCTAATGACCTTCCACAGTTTGCTGGCCCGACCCAAATGAGGTAGGTAGTTAAGGCAGTCGCTCAAGCGATATATTCACTGAGAAGTGTACCACTCTTCACGGTACATATACACTGAGAGTTTACTTTATTTCTGGACTATGTTCAATAATAAAATATACTTGCTGGATGGTCAGTAAGCTCTTGTGGTGACCCTAATAACCTCAAGAGGTTGACAGGCATTAAGCCCAACACCAAGCTAATTAGTCACGGGAAAGATATTTGACAAATACTTGTTCAGACAATCCAAAAGCATCTTGATTAAAATTGCTTATTACGTTACAAGCAATGAGTATTTAAGGACATCAGATCATTATCTACAGTGACCGCAAAATGGCACAGAAGTCTCGGCTGTGTAGAGGATACATTCTGTATGTTATATGTTGTTGGAGCATTTGAGATTGTCTGGCATAAAGGATTGACGTGTAAGAGTAATAGACATAGAGTTGATGGGAATCGTTGCACGTCATTAAAAACCACTTAAGTAATAAAACCTGCCACATTGTCGTCAACAATCAATTATCTTGTGAATATGCCATAGAAGCAAGTACAGTATACCCCCGGGTAGTGAGATCGGATCACTCCTGTTGAAAATCTACTTGTATGAACTTTTAAACCAATACCAGATGCAAGTGCATATGTAGATGATTGTATATTGGCTTTTTCAAGAGACAAGAAAGAAGATGTAAATCACATCAACAAAATCCTTGAAACTCTCTTATCATGTGGACGACGGTGTCAAGTTATTGATGCCCCCGATAAAACCCCATCAAATGGTTATCTCACGGAGACAGAAAATATATCGACCAGTTATAAGACTACACAAGAAAACGCTGATAAACAGTTCATCAGTTACCACATTTGGAGTAGAATGTTATGAAAAATTATTTTTCACAAGTCATGTGAAAAATATTGCAGTCAAATGCGCTAGGAAAATAAATTGTTTATGGAGGATAGTTTGCTTGCACTCGTCAAAGTTACTCAAATGACATAATAATAATAATAATAATAATAATAATAATAATAATAATAATAATAATAATAATAATAATAATAATAATATTTGCAAAGGGGATATACATATTTTCTGCTCCCCACTTGGAGGTTCTCCCTTTTCTTTGGATTCCAAATCTCTCTTTTCAAATCCGGGATTACGAACAGAAAGATCAAATTGGATATAAGTTCACGTGGCTATTACTTATCTTTTAAGATGGGTGACCTTGCAAGGAATGAGACCTTACAAAAGTCACGTTGCTTCCTAATGTGTGGCCGCTTCCACAGCCCCAGATCAGATCATGGTTCTGACCAGCAGATGCCTACTGTTGACGACCTTCTAGAACCTTAATTCGGAAACTAGTCAAAGTCTAATATAAATACTTAGTGCTTGTCATTGAAGTATTGGGATAAGGGGTTTGGAAGGAATTTTATAGCAACAAAATCGTTTAATTCAATGATCACTGTTGACAGAAAATAGTTGGATACATTTCTAGACAGTTTCCCAAGAATCAACGACAAACTGAAGGAAATATCTCACATAAGGACTGTATTAGCAGCTACTGATGCCCAGAGAATACAGCCCCGCTCCTGTGAAGAGGAAGTCCACTACGGGCTCACCATAGCCCCGTGTTACTTGGAATTTTATGTTCCGAGTAGCAGAATCTAAAACAACAACTAAAATAATGCAGTTGGTTTACAACCTAAAGGCCCAGGGTTCGATTTCCGAAGCAGGGTGGAGACGTTCGAGAGACCTTCCTTTCACCTGATGTTCCTGCTAAGTGTATAAAAAAAACTTACAAAATCACTGGAAAATACTGAGCAACATCTTGCCCTTGACCAAGAGGCCGTAGCGCCGTTCTGTATATAAACAGAGCATGACAGAAGGTCTGCAGTCAGTTCCTCGTGACAACACAGCAAGCAGTATGAAGACTCAGGTAGCTCTCACATGCTTTCAATACTTGCTCAGTTACCATTCAAATACAATTCCAATACGAAACTGGCTTTAATTTTCATCGTTTAAGATATGTTTTAATTTACAGATCTTAATCGTGTTGGGCATGGCAGCCTTGGCAGCTGCAGACAGCAGGGAAAGGTTCTCGTATGGTCCCCCTCGGGTAAGTACCAAATTTTCATTCTTGTCTCTTAAGGTCCCGTCGGATCAGTACCAGTAACTGGCAACTATGTTCTCAACAACGCACTTGATAAGTCTATTTTCAAGATAACTGTTTTGCTAGTTTCAATCAGATTTTCCATAAACATAAATGCATTATTATCTAATACAGTATCTCGAACCACTTAAGAAAACGTAAACTATGTGTCTGCAATTTGTTTCTCATTTACATTCAATAACTTAAGAAATTTGAACTTAAACCAGCAATCAAAACGACTGTAATAATCATGACCAAAGTAGTATTTCTATGATTATTTCTAGCTTTATATATTTATAATATATTTAATTACGAGAACAAAATGAGGAACTTAAGTTCAAATTCAAGTATGTTTATAGAGACAAGAAAATACATCTTAAAGGGATAGAGTAGCTTAGGCAATTTCTAACCTCCATGAGGAACTTATTGTTCACTGAGTCAATAGCATTTATATGATACTTTTTTTTTGCTCAAAGCCTTACTCAGCGGAGTCGTTCGAGTCTAGTGAGGCTCAGTACAACTTCAACTATGCTGTGAAACACGAAGACTCCGGCAACGACTTCGGTCACCAGGAGACCCGCGACGGTGACGACACCAAGGGGTCGTACTACGTGCAGCTTCCCGACGGTCGTCTGCAGACTGTGAACTACATAGTGGATGGAGACTCAGGCTACATCGCTGATGTCAAGTACGACGGTGAAGCTCGCTACCCAGACTCCAACGAGTCCAGGGAGGCTCCCCGCTACGTCCCACCCAGGCCCCGGTACTTCGCTCCAGACTCCCACGAGTCTCGTGAGGCTCCAGTATTCGTCCAACCCAGACCTCGGTACTTCGCTCCAGACTCTCACGAGTCTCGTGAGGCTCCAGTATTCGTCCAACCCAGACCTCGTTACTTCTTCCGTGACTCTAATGAGTCCAAGTAATCACCACCAACGTTCATATCGAATCACCACAGTCTTGACGGACCAACTATTCATTAATGGATATGTAAATATTTAAATTGAACAAGTAAATTATTCCTATATTATTTATTCAGATTTATTTGTATGAAATAAACAGAGCATAGTAAATCATAATTTTCTTAGATTTATCCTCATTAGATACTTGACACAAAACTTGTAAAGAGACCTGATGGCTCTGTTATGGATTATGGATTATGAAACCTGCATAATGAAGAAGGCTGATCGTCTTGCTTTTCGATTTCCAAAATGAAAGTTACGAAGCCATATCGTTTGCTCCCTGAGCTACCTTCCCTTGCTAATTACCGCTTATCTTTCTAGAACAATCCAAAAAATGGAAACAAAAACTAATTTTTTTTTTCCCTGAAACGAATGTTAGCAAAGCCTTAGGACAAGATTGTAAGTCTTTACTTGTTATCAACATGTGCCTACCTCTTGCAGCCATTTTCCAAAGTTGCATTGATCATTAACCCTGGCCACTAAACGATATTACATTTCGGTATACAAAGACTTACTCTTCCATGTCTTTTAGGTGTATTGGATAAAATATCCATATATCTAAATAAAAAATGTCCCTGCGGCCTAATGACCTTCCACAGGTTGCTGGCCCGACCCAAATGAGGTAGGTAGTTAAGGCAGTCGCTCAAGCGATATATTCACTGAGAAGTGTACCACTCTTCACGGTACATATACACTGAGAGTTTACTTTAGTTCTGGACTATGTTCAATAATAAAATATACTTGCTGGATGGTCAGTAAGCTCTTGTGGTGACCCTAATAACCTCAAGAGGTTGACAGGCATTAAGCCCAACACCAAGCCAATTAGTCACGGGAAAGATATTTGAGAAATACTTGTTCAGACAATTTAGAAGCATCTTGATTAAAATTACTTATTACGTTACAAGCAATGAGTATTTAAGGACATCAGATCACTATCTACAGTGACCGCAAAATGGCACAGAAGTCTCGGCTGTGTGGAGGATACATACTGCATATTATAGCCTTATATGTTGTTGGAGCATTTGATAGTGTCTGTCATAAAGGATTGACATGTAAGATTTGTAGACATGGAGTTGATGGGAATCGTTTGCACTTCATTAAAAACCACTTAAATAATAAAACTTGCCGCGTTGTCATCAACAATTAATTGTCCTGTGAATATATGCCTTAGAAACAAGTATACCCCCGGGCAGTGAGATCGGATCACTCCTGTTAAAAATCTACTTGTATGAACTTTTAAACCAATACCAGATGCAAGTGCATATGTAGATGATTGTACATTGGCTTTTTCAAGAGACAAGAAAGAAGATGTAAATCACATCAACACAATCCTTGAAATTATCTTATCATGTGGACGACGGTGTCAAGTTATTGATGCCCCCGATAAAACCCCATCAGATGATTATCTCACGGAGACAGAAAATATATCGACCAGTTATAAGACTACACAAGAAAACGCTGATAAACAGTTCATCAGTTACCACATTTGGAGTAGAATGTTATGAAAAATTATTTTTCACAAGTCATGTGAAAAATAATGCAGTCAAATGCGCTAGGAAACTAAATTGTTTATAGAGGATAGTTTGCTTGCACTCGTCAAAGAAACTCTAATGACATAATAATAATAATAATAATAATAATAATAATAATAATAATAATAATAATAATAATAATAATACAATATGCAAAGGTGATATACATATTTTCTGCTCCCCACTAGGAGGTTCTCCCTTTTCTTTGGATTCCAAATCTCTCTTTTTCAAATCCGGGATTACGAACAGAAAGATCAAATTGGATATAAGTTCACGTGGCTATTACTTATCTTTTAAGATGGGTGACCTTGCAAGGAATGAGACCTTACAAAAGTCACGTTGCTTCCTAATGTGTGGCCGCTTCCACAGCCCCAGATCAGATCATGGTTCTGACCAGCAGATACCTACTGTTGACGATCTTCTAGAACCTTAATTCGGAAACTAGTCAAAGTCTAATATATACATTTAGAAGTATTGACATTTATGACATTTATGTCATTGAAGTATTGGGATAAGGGGTTTGGAAGGAATTTTATAGCAACAAAATCGTTTAATTCAATGATCACTGTTGACAGAAAATAGTTGGATACATTTCTAGACAGTTTCTCAAGAATCAACGACAAACTGAAGGAAATATCTCACATAAGGACTGTATTAGCATCTACTGATGCCCAGGGAATACAGCCCCGCTCCTGTGAAGAGGAAGTCCACTACGGGCTCACCATAGCCCCGTGTTACTTGGAATTTTATGTTCCGAGTAGCAGAATCTAAAACAATGCAGTTGGTTTACAACCTAAAGGCCCAGGGTTCGATTTCCGAAGCAGGGTGGAGACGTTCGGGAGACCTTCCTTTCACCTGATGTTCCTGCTAAGTGTATAAAAAAACTTACCAAATCACTGGAAAATACTGAGCAACATCTTGCCCTTGACCAAGAGGCCGTAGCGCCGTTCTGTATATAAACAGAGCACGACAGAAGGTCTGCAGTCAGTTCCTCGTGACAACACAGCAAGCAGTATGAAGACTCAGGTAGCTCCCACAAGCTTTCAATACTTGCTCAGTTACCATTCAAATATATTTCCAAATACGAAACTGGCTTTAATTTTCATCGTTTAAGATATACGTTTTATTTTACAGATCTTAATCGTGTTAGGCTTGGCAGCCTTGGCAGCTGCAGACAGCAGGGAAAGGTTCTCGTATGGTCCCCCTCGGGTAAGTACCAAATTTTCATTCTTGTCTCTTAAGGTCTCGTCGGATCAATACCAGTAACTGGCAACTATGTTCTCAACAACGCACTTGATAAGTCTATTTTCAAGATAACTATTTTGCTAGTTTCAATCAGAGTTTCCATAAATATAAATGTATTATTATCTAATACAGTATCTCGAACCACTTAAGAAAACGTAAACTCTGTGTCTGCAATTTGTTTCTCATTTACATTCAATAACTTAAGAAATTTGAACTTAAACCAGCAATCAAAACGACTGTAATAATCATGACCAAAGTAATATATCTATGATTATTTCTAGCTTTATATATTTATAATATATTTAATTATCTCCGAGAACAAAATGAGGAACTTAAGTTCAAATTCAAGTATGTTTATAGAGACAAGAAAATACATCTTAAAAGGGATAGAGTAGCTTAGGCAATTTCTAACCTCCATGAGGAACTTATTGCTCACTGAGTCAATAGCATTTATATCATACTTTTTTTTGCTCAAAGCCTTACTCAGCGGAGTCGTTCGAGTCTAGTGAGGCTCAATACAACTTCAACTATGCTGTGAAACACGAAGACTCCGGCAACAACTTCGGTCACCAGGAGACCCGCGATGGTGACGACACCAAGGGGTCGTACTACGTGCAGCTTCCCGACGGTCGTCTGCAGACCGTGACTTACTTCGTGGACGGTGACTCAGGTTACATCGCTGATGTCAAGTACGACGGTGAGGCTCGCTACCCAGACTCCGACGAGTCCAGGGAGGCTCCCCGCTACGTCCCACCCAGGCCCCGGTACTCTGCTCCTGACTCCCACGAGTCCCGAGAGGTTCCAGTATTCGTCCAACCCAGACCTCGGTACTTCGCTCCAGACTCCCACGAGTCTCGTGAGGCTCCAGTATTCGTCCAACCCAGACCTCGTTACTTCTTCCGTGACTCTAATGAGTCCAAGTAATCACCACCAACGTTCATATTCCTCATCGAATCACCACAGTCTTGACAGACCAACTATTTATTAATGGAAATGGAAATATTTCAATTGAACAAGCAAATTATTCCAATATTATTTATTCAGCTTATTTGTGTGAAATAAAGAGCCTTAAGAATCATCCTTTTCTTAGATTTATTGTCATTAAAAATCGACGCAAATTTTAGTCAATATAATATACAAAATCAAAACCATTCCTATAAGAAACAGCGTGATAGGTATTTTGAAAATAGTTATGTGAACTAAATTCACATGATAACTCGATGACATTATGTTAGTTTTATTAACAATGGACTCAATAGTTAAAGGTATGTATGAGTTTATCTGACACCAATAAGATCAACAACAGAGGACAGGGTTTCATAGGATCAATAATACTCACCTGGTTGTGCTCTGGCTCTTTGGGCCTGCCTCTTAACTGTCAATCAACTGGTAAAATGTGCATTTAGATGACTGATCTACTGATGAAATCACCAAGATGGCCATCGAAGCTAAGCCATAATTTTTTCACTCTTTAGGAAGAATTTATTTTGATCGATAGCCGACTGACTGCTGACGCCATCTAGTGGCAGGAAATCGCACTATCGACAGGCCAACAGCAACTCATAACGTGGGTTGCTGTACTTAACGTCGTTTTTTCCGCGCCCGAATTTCATTGGTATTAACTCTGTGTTGACACTAACCATAACACCCAATCACTCAGGTGGACCAGCTAAAAGCTCCGTCCAATGTTCATGGGCGTTCAGCACTGCCACCCAGCTTATGATGTGTTGTTTCAGCTCTGAGCTATGCAAAATTTTAATATTTTAACTAAATTTAAAATTTACGATATACATGATTAGCTTATATGAAATATTACCGTTCTTATACAAGAATAACAGGGCTGCTTAACATGTAACATTATTAGGGGGGTGGAGCTTGGAGTCCAGCGTTATAGATGCTACCATGCTCGCTGCTGCTGCTTCACTGAGTGGTATAGTCTGCCACCAGATGGAATCACTTGTTAGGTACACATGAATGTATGTAAAATTATCAACCTAAATATTAATAATCATATCTTCTTAATAATTCTGTTTCCCAACGCTATTTTGTTGAAATTTTAGTACTGTGGATTTATTAAATAACTTAATTTTAATGTATAGTCATTATTATGACAAGTTGTTCCCTCTTGTGGCAGACTTTAGAAATTTTTTGTCTAAGTCCCGCCCACTGGTGAAATTACAAGACGACAAGGGTAGCCATTCTCTTATAAATACTATAAAATCTAATTGAATAACAACCAGTTATGATAATTCTTTAATTATAAAAAATACACATCGCTGGTCAAACAGTGATCAGTGTTTGAAGCTGTTAGAAGTTAGTTAGTTGACTAACTAACTAACCAGTGAATTTATAAGCTGGGTTGTTGTTTTTTGTAAACTTAATGTACTGACATTAAGCGGGCGGAGATTTAATCTAATTCCCTCCTGTGATTGGCTTTTGTGGTAAACATCAACACAGACATTCCACCAATGAAATGCGAATGTGTGGGGGGAGAGAGAGAGAGCCTTCTTCTTCAGCACTACAACCTGTCTTATGGAGTGCTGGTGACCTGTTGATGGTACCTTTTTCTTCCCCTAGCACCAGCAGGTTTATTATATAGATAGACCCATAACACTCTTAATTCCTTATCTTTCGGTAAAGTATCTTGTTTTTTAACAATATGCTAGCTGGCCAATAAGCAATTAAGAGGCATTAAAAACTTCCCAGAAACTCAGCATGAAAAGTCTATCGGTACAAAGCATGCCCCAGAATTAGTGTAATCAAGATGTGCCTGTTAATATTTCTTGTCATAAATTCCAGTTCTTTGTTAACTTTATTCTGTTCATTGATGTATTACTAACTCGGCCACAGATTGCTGCTAATCATATATCCTAAGTCTCTTACAGATTGATCTACACATAACTGTTGTTGTTATATATTCAGCTACTCGGAACAAAAGTTCCAAGTAGCACGGGCTATTTTGAACCCGTAGTGGACTTGTATATGATTTGGTGTGCATGACGACCATGACTAATATTTAACGACCTATTGGTCTTACGTGTAATACTGGAGATAATCCAGGTTTAGGTGAGTAAGTCTCACCTTCTCACCTTATTGACCTGGACTGCGTAGCTTGAGTCACCATTCTGAATCACGACCAAAGGGAGGGGCAGCCGCCCGGTTATTGAACCCAGCAGTATCACAGGTACAGATTTCGGACGTTTTTGGATGGAATTGAGGGCAGGGGTCTGAAAACTATATATTATTTGAATAAGTCAACCCACACACATGAAAATAGATGAAGCGACGACGTTTCTGTCTGTCCTGAAGCCTCACCATGACGCGTCTTGATAAGGGTCCAACACATATACACCCAAAACCTTACACTACTTCTCGGTGTATATATATTGAGAGATTACTTCCGTGCTGGACTCTGTCCAGAACTAAAGTATAAATGCAAGATGGTCAGTAAGCAATTGTGTTTACTTTAAGAGTTTACTTTAGTCCTCATCCTCATCAGAGTTACAGCCCCGCTCCAGTGCCAGGTAAGTCTACTACGAGCTCAACATAGCCCGTGCCGCTTGAAACTTTTTGTTCCGAGTAGCTAAATCTAAAACAACAACAACAAATTTAGTCCTGGACTATGTTAAAGACTGAAGTATACTTGCTGATTGGTCAGTGAGCTCGTGTTGGCTCAATAACCCTCCAGAACGTAATAGGTCTTAAGACATATATCAACTGCTCTTCACTAAACTCTAATTCCAAAGACTAGCTAATATACAGGTTACAGCCACTATGATTAGTTAATTTAACTAGCTAAGGCTAGTTAATTTAAGAGTACAGCTACTAAGACCAATAAATATATAGGTTACAGCTACTAAGACCAATAAATAAATACGTCACAGCTACTAAGACTAGTTAATATAAAGGTTACAGACACTAAAATTTGTTAATAAACAGACTACAGACACTAAGATTTGTTAATATACAGGTTACAGTAATTAAGAATAATTAATATTCAGTTTACAGCTTCTAAGACAAGCTAATATTCATGTTATGGACACTAAGACTAGTTAATATATATGCTACAGACTCTATGATTGGCTAATATACATGCATAAATGCGAATACTGCCTAATATATATGGTACAGACGCTAAAACTAGCATATATATATATATATATATATATATATATATATATATATATATATATATATATATATATATATATATATATATATATATATATATATATATATATATATATATATATATATATATATATATATATATATATATATATATATATATGCTACAACCACTACATGCCTTAACACTGAAACTAGCTAATATATTCACCGCAAACACTACAAGCACAAACACTGAGACTAGGTAATATACGCAAGAAGGAGAATATTAAAAGCCAAGGTTTTGAAGGTGAATATCGATTTCTAGAATTGTAGTATAGAGTTAGGCATCTTACATGTCAAGGCTTCACGATGAACTTCCCACATACCAGAGATCCAAGAAGAGAGACTCCCACATACTAGGGTTTCAGAGAGAGAGCCTAACACATACCAGGGCCCCTGAATATTAGCCTCCAACCTATCGAGGCCCTAATCTCCATGCTGGATATAACTGGGTGAAGCAATTTTAGGTTACCATGTCTCAACGTAACCTTTAAGGTTCGTCAAAACTCACCATGATATAGAAACATCAGCAGTAACGCACAAAAACTTACCACTTTGAACTTTGCAAGATTTACTTATATATATACATATATATATATATATATATATATATATATATATATATATATATATATATATATATATATATATATATATATATATATATATATATATATATTGCACTTGGGGCTAGCCTCACCAAACTGCACGGTGATTCATGATTGTAGGGTGAGTGTCAAAGGGTGGACGGGGTCGGCACCCATGCCCTACATAAAGCAGAATAGGCTCCTATTGCGACAATCAACGATTCCTTTGAATTCTGAAATATAGGTTTATTAGTGCATTGAGTGTTATCCAATAGATGTTATAGCTGTTATAAAATAACGTCGACATCGTTGATTCCATGTCGAAAACGTTGATTCAACGACAATAACGTTAATTCAACAACTATAATGTTAATACAAAATAAATTCAACGTCGATAATGTTGATTTAACATTACTAAAGCATCTGTTGACCACTGAGAGAGAGAACGGCAGGCATGCAGAAAGAATGGGCGAGAGGGAGAACGGGCGAAAGGGAGAACGGGCGAAAGGGAGGGGGTCGAGAGGGAGAATGGGGGAGAGGGAGAGACAAACAGGCCCGTGCCCCACCTGGTACCCCCATCTATCTATAAAAGAGAATGTCTGTCTATTTGTGGAAGGTTGGAAAGCAAGACTTTTTGTTTTAGATTCAGCTACACAGAACAAAAAGTTGCAAGTAGCACGGGCTATGGTGAGCCCGTAGTGGTGGACTTACCTGGTACAGGAGTGGGGCTGGAACTGTGGAAGCAAGACGCTTGGGACTAGACTCATGAAACTTTGCATTGTGATTGTGTTCCTATGGAGAGTTTCATACTGTGGTCAAGGTCATTTACAGTAATTGAAGCCACAGTGTTTTGTGAAACTGGTTACAGTGATGATGTGGAAAGGGGTGGCAGAAATGTATATGTTAGAAGATATGGTGGAGGGTCTCTGTGTGTGTGGGAGAGGCCTAGACACACGGTCGACCCGGGAACTGCCGGGACCTCATATATTTTGTGTATATATTAGAATGGCTACCTGTTCGAGGCTGAAGGCCAGGCGCTTGTGTCTAGCTTCACCCAATTTAGAAAAAGAATTGATCTTGCCTACGTGCGCAACATGGGTGGGTCGGAGTTGGCATAATTGGCATAAATTAATTTCTATTTATAAGTAACTATAATGCATGAAATATATTTTTGCAATGAGTGATTTTAATTACTCATATTTTAAGTTAATTATTCACTCAACGTTACTTTTCTATTCTTCCTATTAAGAGAAATATAAAAGTACTAATAAAAAATGTTGACAAATACTAAGATGTAAATAAATAGATTTATTCTAGATTTTTTTAAGCCAAAGGGATTAGTTTGACTCATTAGAGTCAAGAGCAGTGTACAGGCGCTTCGGTAGGGTGTAAATAGGAGCCTCAGGAGATTCATTAGACTCTGGGGCAGTATATGGGAACCTTGGTGGAGTCTTTACTGGAACTTCAGGCTCATCGGCAGAGGAACGAGGCCTTGGGGTGGTCAAAACAGGAGTCTCTTGGAGCTCTTTTGCTTCAGGGACAGAGTATCGAGGCCTGGGTGGAATGTAAACAGGAGCCTCATCAGACTCTTTTGACTCAGGGGCTGAGTACCGAGGCCTTGGTGGAATGTAAACAGGAGCCTCATCAGACTCTTTTGACTCAGGGGCTGAGTACCGAGGCCTGGGTGGAGTGTAAACAGGAGCCTCATCAGACTCTGGGTAGCGAGCCTCGCCCTGGTAGGTGACCTCGGCCACGTAACCAGAGTCACCATTCACGTAGTAAGTCACGGTCTGGACACGACCGTCGGGAAGCTGCACGGAGTACGACCCTTTGATATTGTTGTCGTCACGGGCTTCCTTATGATCAAACTCAGCGTTTGACGATTCCTCATTGACGGCCCACTTGTAGTCGTACTTTGTTCCACGTTGCTCGTAAGAACCTCTTGAAACAAACTGCAATGTGAAAAAGAATAATGTCACTTCTCTGCTACTATATGATTTGGGAATTTATTCATAAAATATATTTTGAAAATTAAGCGATCTTTTTTTATTAGTTTGGTATTGCTGGAAGCTTTGTTGAAAGCATCTTATATGATATAACATACAAATCTGTTCTGCTAACTATTACCGCAAATTACAATAGTATAACCTGGACAGGAACTTTTATTACTTTCGAGTAATTACTTAAAATTAGCTGACCATATATGTTATGAAAGAGAAAAACAGTTCAGATGTTCACCTACTTGTTAAATGTTCGTATTCCTTCGCAAGCTTCAACGAGCGAGCTTCGTCAGCTTAATTTTTTTTTTTTTTTGTTGCATCGAATGACAAAACATCGCATAAATGATTGCAACAAATTTCGAGAGAAAAACAAAAAAGTAAAATGAATTCTTTGTTAAAAATTAATTGTCATATAACTGTATGGTTAGGTTAGGTTAGGTTAGGTTAGGTTAGGTTAGGTTAGGTTAGGTTAGGTTAGGTTAGGTTATGGTTAGGTTAGGTTGGGGAGACTCTTACACCTGATTTCGATATTCACCTAGCAAAAATAGGTATCTGGGAGTTAGTCAACTGTTGTGGATTGTGATGGGGGAGAACAAGAATCTCTGATATGAGAACAGAGTGAAGGAAATGTGGCCAAAGATTTTGACAACTGTTGAGGAACTTACTTGTTGGTCACCACTGGAGTAAGTCTCCTGGCTCTCAGCTCCTACCACAGTTGATAAACACAACGCAGTCAACACCTAGAATAGAACACAGAAGTATCTGTAGCCACACCATTGTGTACACAACGTTATGTCATTAGTGATGTTTATTACAATATTATATACACACACATCCATCACCCGGGAATATACGCATTCAGAGGTGCACCCAGCTTTTAGGTGGATATATACACCGAGAGTTTACTAAAGTATTTGTTGGTTGATCAATAAACAGGAGGTTATTAGCTCTTATATATATAAGTCCAACGCCGAACTAACCACAAAACGCCTGGATATTTAGACTAAAATATGCGCTCATTTAATAGTAATTATACACTGAGAGTGTACTTTAGTTTAGGACTAAAATATATACTTTCTGGTTGATCAGTATGCTTATATTTGTAACATCCTATAATAATTTGTTAACATCCTAATAATTCACTAAAATCTGTGTAACTAGCTTATCAATATTGTAACTTGCATAGATAAATAAATGTTGGGCTCAGTTTCTGAGCCCATTATGTGCCTCCGTAACCTTTTTTCCACTACTGCTCAAACAACGGTTATGAAAAGCATAGTAAATGAACTAAACTAAACCTAATTACCCTCCAGGGATTAACATAGACTTATATCCAAAATTGTCCAAATCAACAAGCACCTTAACGATCATCTTGATGGATTAGTTGCCTCAAAGGTATGAGTGGATTCCTCAGTTGCAGTTGATTATATACAGCGCGATGCTGAACCAGATCTGACCGAAGCCAAGTTTTTCTTGAGCAATTTCCCATGCTTCTGAAACACGTCAGCGCTTTCAGATTAGTGTAACGCCCCAGAGGTCAATTACAACATTTTCTTTGTCCGTACTTATGCAGTTTCAGGTTCAACTGAAGTAAGATAATATTTCTCCTGGAGCTCCAGTTCTATTGTTATGTGAACGGTTATTGCTCCTTCGAATCAGGGAGTCAATATCTAGTCACAAGCTTGTGATTCTCGAATAATATCCTTTATCATAATGCTGAGAGAGAGTCTGCGTCTTTTGGTCTGGTGGGTGAATGCCACACCCATGACGTTAGTATCTAGAACTAAGTGGGTGTGTGTGTGCCACACCCATGACGTTAGTATCTAGAACTAAGTGGGTGTGTGTGCCACACCCATGACGTTAGTATGTAGAGCTAAGTGGGTTCATGCCACACCCATGACGTTAGTATCTAGAATTAAGTGGGTGTGTGTGTGCCACACCCATGACGTTAGTATGTAGAGCTAAGTAGTGTATGCCATACCCATGACAGTATGTAGAGCTAAGTAGTGTATGCCACACCCATGACAGTATGTAGAGCTAAGTAGTGTATGCCACACCCATGACAGTATGTAGAGCTAAGTAGTGTATGCCACACCCATGACAGTATGTAGAGCTAAGTAGTGTATGCCACACCCATGACAGTATGTAGAGCTAAGTAGTGTATGCCACACCCATGACAGTATGTAGAGCTAAGTAGTGTATGCCACACCCATGACAGTATGTAGAGCTAAGTAGTGTATGCCACACCCATGACAGTATGTTGAGCTAAGTAGTGTATGCCACACCCATGACAGTATGTAGAGCTAAGTAGTGTATGCCACACCCATGACAGTATGTAGAGCTAAGTAGTGTATGCCACACCCATGACAGTATGTTGAGCTAAGTAGTGTATGCCACACCCATGACAGTATGTTGAGCTAAGTAGTGTATGCCACACCCATGACAGTATGTAGAGCTAAGTAGTGTATGCCACACCCATGACAGTATGTAGAGCTAAGTAGTGTATGCCACACCCATGACAGTATGTAGAGCTAAGTAGTGTATGCCACACCCATGACAGTATGTTGAGCTAAGTAGTGTATGCCACACCCATGACAGTATGTAGAGCTAAGTAGTGTATGCCACACCCATGACAGTAGGTAGAGCTAAGTAGTGTATGCCACACCCATGACAGTATGTAGAGCTAAGTAGTGTATGCCACACCCATGACGTAACTTGTTGAAAACATGATCACAAGTTTCCATTGAAAGCTCGGAACGCAATATGACGAAGGTCAAGGATAGTGACTCTAACACGTATCTCTGGGCAACGAAGACTTCATACTGCATACCAACATCATCATGTACATCAAATTAGTTTATCTTTTGAAAATAATAATTTATGAACTAACTAATGTTCAGCCATTTTCATATTTATATATGTGTATATATTTCATAATTTACATTCTTCTGTCTTTCATTATTCTGAAATATGTTTTAATCTGAAATTTATAATTTACACAAACAATGAAGTCAATCTACAGCCACACTAAGTCAATGTACAGCTATAAAGATCAGTTTACCTGAGTTTACACCCTCAGGTGTAAATTCGTCTGGTGTTTGTGATTTATGTGATGCCAAACTCAATGGAAGTTTTGCACCAGGTAAATTCACATATGGACCATTTCAATCTTCACACCAGGCTAATCTACACCCAAAATAAGCCATCAACACCCCACGAAGGTCAATATACACCCAAACTAATTAACTAGCTCAATCTACTCCCATATAAGGCCTATCTACACTCACGCCAAATAGAAAGCAGATTGGAAGATATTAAAAATATTTTTGTTGGCGATTCATTATTTTCTTTAATAAGGTCTATTTCATTTCTGTTATCTTCATAATTTACTGGTAAATTTATGTGTATAATTTATGCATAAATAACTAATTTAGTTTCGTCTTTTTATTATTTAAATGCATTATCAGTTTCATCTTAAGTTACAAATGAACTTGTTTTGAGTCACTTATATTAGTTATTATTATAATAAAACGTTACTACATGTTTTCATTTTAGTTTATACATAATGTATAAATATTTATATAAAAAGTTATTCACGATTCCACTAGATGATAAGGCATGTACTACGGTTTGCAAAGCGGATCACACACACACATATATATATATATATATATATATATATATATATATATATATATATATATATATATATATATATATATATATATATATATATTTATTTACTTATTTATTTATATATATTTAGTTGTAAAATAATTATATTAATTTATGTAAGAAAATGTAGCATATAAGATTGAACATATTTTCATTAATTCTAAAAACACTTAAATGTCAGTGTACAATACTAAAATACCTTTACAAATCTGATGTACTACGCTGTTACATAATAATGACAATAAAACAAAAACTTGTCCTCGATCTGAGCTTGCACGGCGCTTGCTTGTATATAATAGACAGCTGCGGACTCACAGGCAGTCAGTTTCTCCAGAAGACATTGTCAGCAACATGAACACCAAGGTGATCACTATTGGTTTGGTTTTGTGTTGGGACCTATCAACTTCTGGAGGGTTATTAAGACTACCTCAATAGCTTACTGACCATCTAGCAAGTTTGGTGTTGGGCTTAAGACCTATCGACCTCTGGATAGTTATTAAGGCTATCACAATAGTTTACTAACCGACCAGCAAATGTACTTTACTCCTGAATGCTAATTATTTATAAATATATTTGAATACAATAAATGTATAACTTCACAATTGTAACGCACGGTAATTTTTCCCTATTACAGATCTTCATCGTGTTGGGCTTGGCAGCCTTTGCAGCAGCCGACAGCCGGGAGACCTTTGCATATGGTCCTCCTCGGGTGAGTAGCTTTCATGAGTATGGCAGTCTTCACGAAGGCAAATCAGTTGGCAATGGTTATTATACGAAAAATATACTTTCTCAATAAAATCTTCAAAAGCTTCATAATTTGATGCCAATCGCATAATGCTTATATATTTCTAAATTAAAACTCTTCCAATCGTAGGCTTTCTCTGATGAGTCGTTCGAGTCCGGTGAGACCAAGTACAACTTCAACTGGGTTGTCGACCACGACCCCTCCAGCAACGAATTCAACCACCAGGAAGCTCGTAATGAGGATGACACCAAGGGGTCGTACTCCGTGCAGCTTCCCGACGGCCGTGTCCAGACCGTGACTTACTACGTGGACGGTGACTCCGGCTACGTGGCCGAGGTCACCTACCAGGGCGAGGCTCGCTACCCAGAGTCTGATGAGTCCAGGGAGTATGCCCCACCCAGGCCCCGGTACTCTGCCCCCGTATCTCTTGAGTCCCGTGAGGCTCCCAGGACCCAGTACTTCTTCGGCGATTCTAATGAGTCAAAATAATCACCCAAGATCTTCCTAATAATGATGAGTCAAAGTAATCTTTCAGGATATTTCAAATATATCTAATTTTTCTAAGCAGAACTACTATATTTATACTGTAAATATTATCAAAGTGTAAATGGTTTATTTATATAATTATAATTTAGAAAATAACAATTTAATTTAAAATAAATATATGTGAAGGAATTATTCTATTGCTTTTGAATACAATACCTGTTCATCATCTTTTAGATCGCTTTTCCAAAATATAAAATTTTGGCTAATTGTTATATTTCGCAAAAGTCCTGACAATTATAACATAATATAATTTAGGATTCGGTGAAACTCAATAGCAAATAAACTCTTATATAACATTTAAAACACACACACACGCATACTTGCACAAGCAAAACACATACCCAAAAACATACACATACGTTCAAATACACACACACTCACACACACACGAGGAGAGACTACTACTACTGCTTCTTATTACTTGCTGATTACACAAAGAATTCGACGATAATAAATACAGTGGAAGAAACTAAGAACCTTCAGGATTACCATAAAGAATAGTTCAACAAGTAGCTACCAGAGTTTAACTCAAGCAAGTGCAAAGTAATGAAGCTAGATGCTAGCAACAACAGAACAGTCACAAAGTACCAAATGGGAGAGTTAAAGCTCCAGAAACTGGACAAAGTTCTGAATGTTAATATCAGATCATAATTCCAGAATCATATGGCTGCTGCAGAGTATATAACAACCATACTTTGTAGCAATCATACTCTCTAGCAACCATAATCTGTAGCAGTCACACGCTGTAAGAACCATACTCTGTAGCATACGCTCTAGGAAAACGAAAATTCCGAACGTTTCTTTGTTTTAACATATTATCAAAGAATAATCTGTTCACACCTGTCGTTATGATCACTTATTTTCAGGACTATCACTTGTCATCTAACATGGAGTGGATGATTGACACCACTCCATGTTGGATAAATGCACCTGAAACGTCTTCACGTCCTCTCACCTAATACGCCCGCATTTTTGTTTCAAGCTTTTAGTTAGGCAAAACAATTGCATTTGTGACGGATTTGCAAATCGAGAATCAAGATAGCGTCATTATGACATCAGGACGTACTTCATCAGTGAGGATCCTCCGAACTTCTCCACCTTCAGAAACGTTTAATTGATAGGCACTAGCACTGTCCGGCCCGCCACCACGAACTAGTCAATATCCCTCGTTTGGTCCGTTTGTCTTATGAATACACACGCACACGTATCAAGCTTTTGGTCGAAATTGGAAACACTTTTGATTTATATATAGTTAACAAAATTAATTTTTTAACTGGCAGAAAGTCTTCATTTACAAATTTTTTTCTTAAGGTTGTCAGGTAAGCTATATTTCATCCACTTGGATCATCGGAGATTCAAACTCGGGCCTCAGTAGCAGGAGATCGTTGTCCTTCCAACCACACAATGGATGATCACTGTGCGGCAGGATCTCAGAGTACCTATCATACAAGATACAAACCACAATATTGAGGGCAACAACACTACATTTTCCCTTACCGACGGGACGTAACCTCACCCTAACTTTGTTGTTAGGTTAAGCGTATTTTTTGTATGGCTAAAAAGTAGAGCAGCACGTGTAGCTAAGGTCCCGCCCTGCAGCCTTGACTCTCTTAGGTGTTAATACTATGTAGCTCAGGCAAGCCGGCAGGCAGCATACCCACCGCTCTAGACGTCGTTGATTTCTCCTAGTTTTTATACCCTATAGTGACGTCAGCTGCTGTTGCAATCCTGAAATTAGTTTGCATGTTCTTTTATGAAAGTTTCTAACTTGTATCCATTGACAGGTTCTCAATAATTCACACACAGTAGTAATTAAAGGTACAACTCACCACAGGGTGGAGAAATGTGCAGCACCTGAGCTAGCTGAAATGCAACACCACACCAAATCTCACCCAGCCATATAATTTAAAGTCGTCGGCTTATCAATTGAATTAACATAAGATAGTAACCCAAGAATGAATTAAATAGCACAAAGCCTATTCGCTCATACGAAGCAGTTCCTATTTATATCACATGCATTACAATTCAGCTTACATTTTGACACAATTCACAGAATCATAATTTAAAACCTAATATGTTTGGGCCGCTATCAGTATATTATATTTATGCATTATGTCTTACGTCTAGACCTATATCTTATCCTTACTCATTTTTCCCTGAATTCCCCATCGTATTTCCTCTTGAAGTTCTCCGCTTACCAGTCTAATGGACGATGATCTATGTATGCTGGTTAGCTTTGTAAAAACACTTCAGTCACTTGTGGTTGAGTGCTTAATAATTCACTGAACTATATGTAGGAGAACAGGACGCTTACCTTGTTTATGTAAGACAGACGAAAATGTATATGTGCTTGTTTCCATTGTATAAATGAATGGCCGCGTCTGTGGTAGAAAATATAAAAAATATCATACATATTAAGCACATTCTAATACAAGAATGAGTCCTTTTATTATTTTTGTTGGTATAAGTCACTTATTCTACACACAATAGGATTTTGGAAGCTTGGGATGAGCTTAATATGCCCTATTACTTATTATTCAAATTCGTAACGTATTCTTCTAGGGGGAATACAAAAATATCTTCCCTCTCTGTCTCCAACGTAACAAAAAAATAATCTGGATTGTTGATCCCCCAAAAAATTCATCCTTTATGCTATTGGAGATCTAAATTGCATGAAATAGGTGAAATAATCATAAACCTATCCTGACCTATGCCCAAATAAGCAATCTTGGACATATCATATAAATTGATCTTATTCAATACATATATGTACTATATTAGGTCTTGGAATAGTTTTTTGGTTTTATTTTCTCTCTCTAACCCTTTATAAAATTAATCGTACATACCGTAGATTATTTTTGTGTACAAGACTATAATTTGTACATACTCCCATAGTACGTATAGATACTATCATCTGCGGATGATAAGATGACATATTGAATTAACTTATTAACACATACCGATGTCCTCATGTACTTTGCTGTTACAGAATCACTAGGAAACCACCACAAAAACTTGTCCTTATCCAGGGCGCGCCAGAGCGTCTGGCGGTATATATTCACCATCTGCACACTTGCTGGTATCACTTCATCAATTCGATACAGCCAGCAACATGAACTCCAAGGTGATTATAGTCTACTTTGTTCATGGGAAATTTGATTAGAATTATGTATATTGAATACAAAAATATATATAACTTCACAATTGTAAAATAATTGGTTTGGTGTTAGGTTTAAGGTCTATCAACCTATGGAGAGTTATTAAGTCCACCACAATAGTTTATTGACCAACCAGAAAGTATATTTTAGTCCTGAATATAATCAAGAATTGAAGTAAACTCTTGTAGCATATACATCGAGAAGCGGGTTACACTTCTTAGTGCATATATGACCTACGGCAAGGTAACCAATGTATACTTTGCCAAAATAAAATTGGATTAAACTTAATTATTTATGGATAAAAATATGACTAAACAATTATAATACACTATGCTTTTCCACGTTACAGATCTTGATCGTGTTGGGCTTGGCAGCCCTTGCAGCAGCCGACAGCCGGGAGACCTTTGCTTATGGCCCTCCTCGGGTGAGTAGCTTTCTTGAGTACATGTAAAGTAAACACCAAATTTGTTGAACTTTCAAAAAGGCAAACGACAAAAGACTTATTAACAATTATTCAATTTATATTTTCAAGTTTTAAGAATTGCATTGCCTAAAATTGTATGTAGTAAGTTCATTTCAAAATATATAAACTTACAAAATTTGACGACTTTGGTCTGTTAACCTTTGGAGGGATATTAATGCTTTCATAGTAGCTTACTGACCAACCAGCAAGTAAAATTTAATCATGAACATAGTCCAGGAATAATAGTATAGTCCTTACCCGGAGTGACTTAAATACTGTATCGTGTATATTATACACACGAGAAAAGCACATTATTGCATATAACATAAATTCCTTTTTACTAATAAAATGAATGGAATTAACATTCATTTTGGTTTAAATAAAATAATTATCTCAATTTCAGGCGTACTCTGGTGAGTCGTTCGAGTCCGGTGAGACCAAGTACAACTTTAACTGGGTCGTCAATGACGATCCCTCCAGCAACGAATTCAACCACCAGGAAGCTCGTGATGAGGACGACATCAAGGGATCGTACTCCGTGCAGCTTCCCGACGGCCGTGTCCAGACCGTGACTTACTACGTGGACGGTGACTCTGGCTACGTGGCCGAGGTCACCTACCAGGGCGAGGCTCGCTACCCAGAGTCTGATGAGTCCAGGGAGTATGTCCCACCCAGGCCCCGGTACTCTGCCCCAGTATCCCTAGAGTCCCGTGAGGCTCCCAGGCCACAGTACTTCTTCGGTGATTCTAATGAGTCCAAGTAACCACCTTCTCAGTTGTCCAGAAAAGCACACACAGTTATTAACAAAACGACCATTTAATTGTATATATTATTAAAGCACAAAATATTTATATAATTATCATTTATTTATAAAGTAAAGCTATTTAATATGAAATAATAAATGTAAAGCAATTTATGTTGCAAAGTTATTTACTTATTCCTCCAACTAAACCGTGAAAATAACGCCTTCTTTGCTAAAGAAAATGTAAATGTAAATTTACGTAATCTATGAAAAATAAAATATTAATATATTCAAGTAATACACATAATTTGTATATGTATACTTACTAATCACCACATACATATACACGGAAAGTATTTTTATCATATAATTTTTAATATAAGTAAATAATAAGCAGTTTAAATATGCGCAGGAGACATCACCCGTCACGCAGGGTTCAGTTGCACCTCCACAGATCTCCAGTATCATCTATTGATACTGGTAATGGCTCAAAAGGGCCACCACTTACGGGCTATTCATGCCCGTGCCACCTCTCGGGTGGCTTAATCTTTATCAATCAATCTTTACATATGATGGTTGTAATGATTATTAAATAATGAAAAGAAATTGGATAAAATTATTCCTCGTAAGTTGATCGAGGAGAACTTGAGCTAAAATAAATATCAAATAACTAGCTATTGGAATTCAACCCAAACTAATGCTAAGTAATGAGAGTGGAATCACAAGGCGACAAGAAGAACTGTGCAGCTTGAAGGAGAGGCACTAAGAACTGTGCAGCTTGAAGGAGAGGCACTAAGAACTGTGCAGCTTGAAGGAGAGGCTAAAGGAACTGAGAAGTTTGAAGGAGAAGCTAAAAGAACTATGAAGTCTGAAGGAGAGACAAGAGGAACTGTGCACCTTGAATGAAAGGAAAGAGGAACTGAGAAGTCTGAAGAAGAGGCTAGAAGGACTGTGCAGCTTGTAGGAGAGGATAGAAGTACTGTACAGCTTGAAGGAGAGGCAAGAGGAACTGTGAAGCCTGAAGGAAAAACTAAAGAAACTGTGCAGCATCAAGAGAAGACCAGACGAACAGTACAGCTTAAGGGGAGACTATAGGACTAGTACAGCCTCAAAGAAAACCAAGAGGACCTGTACAGCGCGAAGGGATTCCAACCTAAACGGAACAAGGGAAGATCAGAAGAGAAATAAAACTTGAAATGGGAATCAGAGGAACAGTACTGCCTGAAGTGGATACCACAAGAGCAATAAAGCCTGAAAGGACAATCAGAAGGACAGTACAGCCTGAAGGAGGGCCCAATTGACCAGTAGAGCCTCGGGAAGAGGTAGGACAAACTAACAGAAGAGAGAGAATGAACTTTAAGAAATATATCACACTAAACCCATCACCAGAAGAACGTATAAGCACGAGAAGGTCTTCGAGATATGCAGAACTGAACATTCTAAAACAGCTTTAATAACTTAAACGAGTTATTGTTCCCCCTTGGAGGCCTATCTACATATTGAGAGTTATTAAGGACAATCAATCTATTGTAGGGCTATTAAAGACCATCAACCTCTGTAGAGCTATTAAAGACCTTCAACCTGTATAGCGTTATTAAGGTCAATCTATGAGGTATTCAATCTTATGAATCTCTGGAGGGTTGTTAGAGCCTAGTAGCCTCTTAAGGGTAATTGTAGTCAATCAACCTCGGCAGGGTTATTAGCCTGCTAATCTATAGAGCGTTATGAAGATTTATCAACCTCTGGAGGATTATTAAGTCTTTTAAATCTAAACGATTATCAAATGCTTGTCAACTGCTGCAGGGAAATTAAAGCCGTGACTCACTGACCAGCCAGCAAGTAAACTTTAGTCCTGAACATATTCATAGCTTCAATTAAACCCTCAGATTACATGCACCGAAAAGCTAAGTAAACCTCTCCGTGGATATATTCAAACGGAACTTGAACGAGGCCTTCATAATAATATATACTACTGACGTTTGACCAATACTGCAATATGAAGTTCAAAAAAATTTACGACGTTTCTGAGATTTTTTAACATTTGTGAATTAAGGATAAAGATCCTTGTCTCAGTTCCTCAGCTCTCATTATATATATATATATATATATATATATATATATATATATATATATATATATATATATATATATATATATATATATATATGTATATGTATGTATGTATATGTATGTATATGTATGTGTGTGTGTGTGTGTGTGTGTGTGTGTGTGTGTGTGTGTGTGTGTACGAGGAACAGAGACAAGGATCTTTATCCGGACATCCGATACAGTAGAAGAGTTTGAAGGTCTGGGAGGGGCTGAGTCCTTCCTGTTCAATTCTGCAAAAACAGGTGTTTGTGACGTCATTTTCCTGTGCCGTCCTGATCCAGTGACCCTATATATACCCTGTGTGGTGATGATGGTAGGTATCAGTTCTTCTCCAGTTCCACTACAATGAACACTAAGGTAATCTACGCTTTCCTGTTTTATACTTTCTTCAAACTATACTTTTGCTTACATATACGAATTTTCTTTTAATTTCAAACATGTTTATATCTTACGAGACAACTTTTAGGATTTCTGTTGATCATCTTTGTTGCAGATCGTGTTGCTACTGTGTGTTGTGGCGGCGGCAGTTGCAGACAAGCGTCCCACCTTCTCCTACGCCGCCCCTAAGGTAATATCTCTCACCTGGGAGACAGCACTAATATCACGCCACCTTTCAGGAAATGTTTCTCATCTGACATGTAACTAAACATTTCACTAAACTGAGATTTCTAGTGCTGAATAACAAAACAATTTACAATCTTTTAATAGTGTTTAACTTAAAATTCCAGATTTAAATGTAAATAATTAATTATGGTTAATTTCCAATAACAATGTAATAGTATATTCAAAGGGTGATTATTTTCATAAAAAAATTCTTTTAAAATCAATAATCTCTTGCAATGTATTATTCCTACAGGAGTCCATTGAGTCTGCGGAAGACTCGGATGAGTCGACCGAAGCGAAGTATAACTTTAATTGGGCCGTGAAGGATGACGACTCCGACAACGACTTCGGTCACCAGGAGTCCCGCGACGGTGACAACACCAAGGGGTCGTACTACGTGCAGCTTCCCGACGGTCGCCTGCAGAAGGTGACATACTACGTGGACGGTGACTCAGGCTACGTGGCCGAGGTCACCTACGAGGGCGAGGCTCACTACCCAGAGTCTGATGAGTCTGATGAGTCTCTTGAGGCTCCCGTGTATGCTCCATCTAGGAGGTCTTACTTCGTCCCAGACTCTAATGAATCAAAATAAGCGCTGATGATTACCATATCGAAGATGACCTGGCAATTTCAAGATCTTCACAAGTTTCTTGAAGATATCAACTCCTGCATTAAGACCTCACAAAGTGCTCCAAGTTGATCACAAAAACGTCAACATTGTCTTTCTCAACCCTCAACTCATTTAACAATTTGATATAACCTTCAAATTTGTTATTTCTTTTCTATATAATCTTTCTATATCTACTTTTGTGTATAAATTATTGAGATTAATTAATATTTATTTATTTTTAATAAATCTGTTGAATGAATACCGAGAATATTTATTTTCCCAAATTGCCAAATAAGTGAGAAGTAGTTCAGCAAAGAATACAATAGATAATATCTCTGAATGTTTATGTCGCCAGAGTGAAGATTTTGGCCTCGTATTCCAAGTTAAGGCAACGAACGTATATTAAACAGTTACGGCAATAGTCGCTTTGATGCCTATAACTTGACAACGCAAATGTTATTTGTATAGTGTGCCTAAGTCTAGCATTATCCTCCTATTTGTCTCCCTGTCTGTCTCTGTCTCTTAAACACTTGGAGAAACAGTGAATTACCGCGTAGCGCTTTATTGAAATCTGAATTAAGCAAGTTATATTACTACAGATTTTCTGCTAGTAAAACATTATTAATATTATTATCCTTGTAACTTATTTCGAGATATAAATTATAATTCTTACGTTTGATCACTGGTAAACACAGATCGTGTTATGGAGATCTGGCAGTGCACTTGTCAGTCCTGATAACTGTAGCAGCTGAGAACCATAAGAGTGTTGTCTCAACATATATGCAGGTTTTAATTTGCTTGTTATTCAAGTGTTAATTAACTTATCATTTAGGTGCTAATTAGCTTGTGACGCAGATGCTACTTACCTTGAAACGTTGGTGTTAATTGGTTTGATACAGGTGCTAATTAGCTTCTGGCGAAAGAGTTAATTGGTTTGTAACGCAGATGCAAATTAGCTTGTTGCCCATAAAAATGCCCAAAATGTAAGGTTTACAAGTTGAAAATTTGATTTACATGTATTTCGAATTTCTCTGAGAATGGTACATCAAATTCACTGGAATTATGCATTCTGATATGTATATATCATTCAATCTGTATTTTTTTAACTTGTATGTCATTCAAAATGGATTTTACATAGAATGGGTATTTGTCAAACAATGAGTATATGCCATTCAATGTGTATTTCCCATACAAAATGTGTTTATCATACAATATATACATGTAATTCAATGTATATTCCTCTTACAATGTACTTGTCATACTATGATGTGTATTTCTCATTCAATGTGCTTATACACAATGAGTATTTTTATACAAGGTTTATTTGTCAAAGAGTCATACAATGTGATTTATCATACAATGTGTATATAAAATGTGATTTATCATATACTGTGTATTTATAATAAAATGTGTATATTTCATACAATATGCAATTGTCATACAATGTATATTTGTCATAAAATGTGTATAGAGTCCCCCGGAGACTATCAGTCTTAGCTCCAAACCGAGACTTCAAACTTCCAACAAGTTATCAGAGATATTTTGAATTTTATTCAGTATATTTTCTTTGAAATTGATAATAGAGAAAATTTTTGTAAATAATGCTAGAGATAACTTCGTTATCTTCAGCCCGGTGTTATCTTGGAGGTCAATGTGGAGAACTCTCAATGATCGAGAATTGTGTAATTGGTGAAGTCAAGTGGAGACTATTATATTGATTCTAATAGGAGAAAAATATTGAGGCAGTGCAGTGGGATCGAATCCACTACCCTGAACGAAGTAAATCCATTGCTTTGTTGATAAAAACTTTTGGATTTATGGCTTGTCAGCATCTGGGGGGTGATTAGGTGCACCACAATAGCTTACTGACCAACAAGTATACTTCAGAAAAGGGCGTAGTCCTGGACCAAAGCACACACTTAGTGTGTGTACACTAAGAATCGTGGTTCACTTCTCTGGAAATGCTGCATAAACGGCCGTCAGGTCTAACAACATTTACTGAATGTAAATGGGAATGCGTCATGGGAATCTACACACGGAGAGGTGTACCCATCACCTCACTGTTCATACACTGAGAGTATACTTTAGTCCTGGATAATGTTTTGGGCTAAAGTATTCTTGCTGGTTGGTCAGTAAGCTAATGAGAAGCCTCATGAGATGGTGACTTCTATATTACAAAATACAGTTGTTGTTCTGAAAGACGTGTTAGATCTTCTCACTGACAGGCATATCTGTGCGGTACTAAATAAGGAACCTTTAAAAATGTAATTAGTCAATTTGGTAAGAATTTTGATTTCCTCCTTAAGACCAATGAACTGTGTACTGTTGTATTTATTGAACTGTGCTCTAGATAAAACTAGAGTTTTTCAATGGAAATTGTTATGATAAGCCGTAGCAGGAAACATTAGAAAATTATTCAACAAGTTAAATAATATAGGGACTAGGCCAAATTACGGCCTAGGCAATAAAGAACCTAGGCAATACAGGACCTAAGCCAATATAGGGCTTAAGCCAATATAGAGCCTATAAGTCATCATATCTTCTGCAAGAGCACTAAGACAAACAACAAAAAAGACATAAAATAGACACTAATCACTTATTCCTCCAAGCCAACTGACCCTACACTGGAGCTATGATTGGGAAACCTGCCATGATATCATTTATTATGGATCATATATTATTTTTCAAGTATTATGTACAATGTAATGTGTATCATGTATATTTTCCATGCATTATATATAAAAACTATATTTAATTTACAAAGTATCATGTATTAAATATCAGTGTCTCATGTATATTATGACCTACCACGTATTATGTATCATGAATTATGTTTCATGTATTATGTATCAAGTACTACGTCTCATTTATTTCATATCATATGGTCTCATTATATATACCATGTAATGTGTATTATAAACTATGAATCATGTATTATATTTGTAACGATCGTATATTTATTGTCCTTGTATTTTGGGAAGTAAAAATTTAAGATATTCATTAGATATATTTATTAATAATAAATATTAGTTATTTCAATAATTTATGTCAGAGTTGGAAGATAAATAATGTTAGAAGAACACTTTGCAACTTTGACAGTTACTTCAAAGTGTCAAATGAGCTGAGGATTGAGATAACTGATGTAGTATCAGCTAGACCCTCTTTGTGATGACCTGGATAGCTAGTGTTGACATCCTCAACTTAGTGAAAAATATTGACGTCTGAGGTTATCTAGGATATGGTAATCATCAGTGCTTATTTTGATTCATTAGAATCTGGAGCAAAGTAAGACCTTCTTGGTGGAGCATACACGGGAGTCTCAAGAGACTCATCAGACTCATCAGACTCTGGGTATTGAGCCTCGCCCTCGTAGGTGACCTCGGCCACGTAGCCTGAGTCACCGTCCACGTAGTATGTCACCTTCTGCAGGCGACCGTCGGGAAGCTGCACGTAGTACGACCCCTTGGTGTTGTCACCGTCGCGGGACTCCTGATGTCCGAAATCGTTGTCGGAGTCGTCATCCTTCACGGCCCAATTAAATTCGTACTTTGCCTCTGACGACTCATATGAGTCTTCAACAGACTCACTAGATTCCTGCAAAGATATTTTAATTATAAGTGAATTTTATCAGTATGTCTTTCCTAAAATAGGAAATCCCTTTGACGTTAAAGTATTATAATAGTGTAGAGAATATAAAAAGGATATCCCAACTGAAGTAGTACGCTGAGGTGTAAGATCTCAAATAAGGTATACATGATGAATGCAATAATAATGAAAAAAGTATAATAAATGGAAAAATTATCTATCACAGATACTCCTCTTCCAGGTGAGAGAGATCACCTGAGGGACAGCATAATATCACTGCTGTCTTCCAAGTGAGATTCATTTCCTAAAGGGCAGCGTAATTTTACTGTTGTTTTCCAGGTGAGAAACATTACCTGAGGGGCGGCGTAGGAGAAAGTAGGACGCTTGTCTGCAACAGCCGCCGCCACAACACACAACAACAACACGATCTGAGAAAATTATATAATTAAATATTTTATTAAATCATGCTAATATAAATCACACAAATATTAGTGAGGCAACTCTTCCTTCATTGTTATTAATATATGATAAAATATATATAAACAAGCGCTTCAAGTGTCAGGTGAAGCGACCTTGCTCGGCCAACTTGCTGGATAACTAATGAAATTGAAATAATATTAATTTACTGAGTAAAACTGAGGTCACCTTAGCGTTCATGATGGTAGAGCTGGAGAAGCAGTGAATGCTCTCGTTGTGTCTGTCCTGGGTATATATACCCAGCTGGGTGATGACGACACAACCACACGTTTTTACGACATTCTTCACTACAGGAAGAACTCGGCCTCTCGCAGGCCTTCACATCCATGATTTATGAGACCATCCGCAGGATATCCTTCTTCTTCCTTCCACAATCCTCTGTACGATTTTACAATCGGATATTTGAATTCGGGCCTATAACGTTACGAGATCATTGTCCTTCCAACAACACCATGAATGCTCACAATATGTAATGATCTCAGAGGTTCCCAACAGGTATCCAACTTTAAACCCTCCCTGAAGCATCGCTAATCCCTCTGGATGTAATCCATCCCTTCATCCATGTCATGGTAGATGCCAACCACAATAGACTGTTTAATAACATTTCATTCACTTGGATGTTCGGTCTTCTTAGAGGCCAGAGTCTAATGACTCTGATGAGTCTATTAAAACGCCCGTGTGTGATCCACCATGGAGGCCTTACTTCTCACCAGACTCCAATAAATCGAAATAGACACCAACGATTAGCATATCCAAGATTACATGGAAGTGTTGAGATTTTCACCAGTCAGTTGAGGATGTCAATTCCTGCCATCTACACTTCACAAAGTGCTCCAAGTTAACTACAAAAAAGTCAACATTATCTTTCTCAATCCTCAAATCATTTAAAGTACCCTTCAAATTTGTCAAGTTCTCTTCTCAATTCATTTTCCGTTTCTACTCTGTATAAGTTATTAAAAGTAATAATAAATATTTATTTTTAATAAATCTCTTGAATGAATACCTTAATATTTTTAATTTCCTGAGAATTTAAACGAACCGAAACCCAAATAGGTTTAGACCAATGCACATTGATCACGTCAGAGATAAGATTATTTAATCGAAATCAGAGTTCAAGGTGGAGTGATATTTCATTCATGTCTACACTGATATTTTTGTGTATTTCTCAATTTTACGAAGAGAGAATATTATCTATAAAGATCCTGTATACAAACATATATGAAGAAATCAAGTGATTGATCGTAACTGAAGAAATAATGCTATGTATCGTAGCTGAAGAAGTCAAGTAATATTAGGCATTCTGAAAACGTGTTAAACCATTAAAATACACAAGTAAACAAAACCTTAACATTATATCACAGAAATCAGGATTAAAAACATTAAATGTAAAATATATAAATATATATATATCATCTCGACGAACATGGAGAAATAATAACTTTATTTTGATATGAAACCCATTAAAAATATGAAAGAAAGCAAACTTTGCGTGTTTTACGAAGTATATCCATCACTTGATGGATTTATTCATCATCGTTGATAAAAACGTATGGATTTATGGCCTGTCAGCAACTGGAGGGTGATTAGGTGCACCACAATAGCTTGCTGACCAGCCAGCAAATATAATTCAGTATCGAAAGTAGTCCAGAACAAAAGTAAACATTTAGTGTATGTACACTAAGAATCGTAGTACTCTTCTCTGCAAATCCTGCATAAACGACCGTCAGGTCTACAAAATAGATGGCTAGACTAAAGAGTATGTCGACCGCCTGAAATTTTAACCACTTGGAAAATATGGATATAAGTTGATATGGAAATAACTTGAAATGATGCAACACCGACGTCATGGGAATGTACACAAGGAAAGATGTACCCATCTCCTTGGTGTTCATACACTGAGAGTGTACTTTAGTCCTGGAACATGTTTAGATCTAAAGTATTCTAGCTGGTTAATTCAGTTAGCTATTGTGGTAGCCTCATGAGATGGTGACTTCCATATTACAAAATACAGTTGTCATTCTGAAAGACGTATCAGATCTTCTCACTGACAGGCATATCTGTACGGTAGCAAACAAGGAACCTTTAAAAAAGTAATTAGTCAATTCGGTAAGAATTCTGAGTACCTCCTTATGACCAATGAACTGGGTATTGTTAAATCGATTAAACTGCGCTATAGATAAAACTAGAGTTTTCAGTGGAAATTGTTATGATATGCCAGTTAACTCAGCAGCAGGAAACATTAAAAAATTATGTAACAAGTTAAAAAGATAGGGACTTGGCCAAAATACGGCCTAGGCAATATAGGGCCTAGGTAATATAGAACCTAGGCAATACAGGGCATAGGCCAATATAGGCCCAAGGCCAATATAGGACCTAAGCCAATATAAAGCCTATAGGTCATCATATCTTCTGCAAGAGCACTAACACAGAAGTCATAAAATAATCACTAATAATTTTTTTCCTCCATGCCAACTGACCCTACACTGAGCTGTGATTGGGAAACCTGCCAAGATATCATTTATCATGTATCATATATTATGTTTCATGTACTATGCATTATGCACCATTTATTAAAGAGTAGAGTAAAACTAAACTATCTCACGACGGTCTAAACTCAGCTCACGTTCCCTATTGGTGGGTGAACAATCCAACGCTTGGTGAATTCTGCTTCACAATGATAGGAAGAGCCGACATCGAAGGATCTAAGGATCGTTATGAACGCATTATGCACCATTTATTATGTGTCATGTATTATGTACAATGTATTCTGTATCATGTATTATTTTCCATGCATATTATATAAAAATATTAAATTTACCATGTGTCATGTATTAAATATCATAGTGTCTCATGTATATTATGGCCTACCACGTATTACGAATCATGAATTATGGTTCAGGTATTATGTCTTATTTATTATATATCATACAGTCTCATATATATACCATGTATTATGTGCTCTGTATCATGCATTATGTATGTAATTATCTTCTCATATTTTTTGTCCTTGCATTTTGGAAAGAAAATTTTTCAGATATTCATTAGATATATTTATTAATAATAAATATTGGTTATTTAAATAATTTATGTCAGTGTAGGAGGATAAATAATGTTAAGAAGTACACTTTACAACTTTGAAAGTTACTTCAAAGTGTCAAATGAGCTGAGGATTGAGAAAACTCATGTAGTATCAACTAGATCCTCTTTGCGATGACCTGGATAGCTAGTGTTGACATCCTCATCTTGGTGAAAAATATTGACGTCTCAGATCATCTAGGATATGGTAATCATCAGTGCTTATTTTGATTCATTAGAGTCTGGAGCGAAGTAAGACCTTCTTGGTGGAGCATACACGGGAGTCTCATGAGACTCATCAGATTCATCAGACTCTGGGTAGTGAGCCTCGCCCTCGTAGGTGACCTCGGCCACGTAGCCTGAGTCACCGTCCACGTAGTATGTCACCTTCTGCAGGCGACCGTCGGGAAGCTGCACGTAGTACGACCCCTTGGTGTTGTCACCGTCGCGGGATTCCTGGTGACCAAAGTCGTTGTCGGAGTCGTCATCCTTCACGGCCCAATTAAAGTCGTACTTCGCCTCTGACGACTCATATGAGTCTTCAACAGACTCACTAGATTCCTGCAAAGATATGTTAATTATAAGTGAATTTTATCAGTATGTCTTTCCTAAAATAGGAAATCCCTTTGTCGTTAAAGTATTATAATAGTGTAGAGAATATAGATAGGATATTCCAACTGAAGTAGTACGTTGAGGTGTAAGATCTCAAATAAGGAAGTTAGTAAAAATACGATGCAACAATGTCTATGTTATAATTAAGTAAATCAATTGTTTTTTTAGATTTAAAGAAATAAAATAAATCGTTAATAAATATGTTCGACCATTGCGTGATAAATGCAATAATAATGAAAAAAGTAATATATATGGAAAAATTATCTATTAGAGTTACTCCCTTTCAGGTAAGGGAGATCACCTGAGGGACAGCATAATATTACTGCTGTCTTCCAAGTGAGATTCATTTCCTAAAGGGCAGCGTAATTTTATTGTTGCTTCAAGGTGAGAAACATTACCTGAGGGGCTGCGTAGGAGAAGGTAGGACGCTTGTCTGCAACAGCCGCCGCCACAACACACAACAACAACACGATCTGAGAAAATGATATAAATAAATATTTTATTAAATCATGCTAATATAAATTACAAAAATTTATAGCTGAAGGCCAACTCTTCCTGCATTATTATTAACATATGATAAAACAGTTATCAACAAACGTTCCAAGTGCCAGGTGAAGCGACCTTGCTCGGTCAACTTGCTGGATAACTTATGCAAATGAAATAATATTAATTTACTGAGTAAAACTGAGGTCACCTTAGCGTTCATGATGGTAGAGCTGGAGAAGCAGTGAATGCTCTCATTGTGTCTGTCCTGGGTATATATACCCAGCTGGGCGATGACGACACAACCACACGTTTTTACGGCAATCTTCACTACAGGAAGAACTCCGCCTCTCGCAGGCCTTCACATCCACGATTTATGAGACCATCCGCAGGATATCCTTCTTCCTTCCACAATCCTCTGTACGATTTTACAATCGGATATTTGAATTCGGGCCTATAACGTACGAGATCATTGTCCTTCCAACAACACCATCGATGCTCAAACTATGTAATGAATTCAGAGGTTCCCAACTGGTATCCAACTGAGACTTTAAACCCTCCCTGAAGCATCGCTAAGCCTTCTGGAAGCAATCCATCCCTTCATCCATGTCATGGTAGATGCCAACCACAATAGACTGTTTAATAACATTTCATTCACTTGGATGTTCGGTCTCCTTAGAGGCCAGAGTCTAATGACTGTGATGAGTCTCCTAAGGCTCCCGCGTGTGATCCACCATGGAGGCCTTACTTCTCACCAGACTCCAATAAATCGAAATAGACACCAACGATTAGCATATCCAAGATTACATGGAAGTGTTGAGATCTTCACCAGTAAGTTGAGGATGTCAATTCCTGCCATCTAGACCTCAGAAAGTGCTCCAAGTTAACTACAAGCAACGTCAACATTATCTTTCACAATCCTCAAATCATTGAATAATTTGAATTACTCCTCAAATTTGTCATGTTCTCTTGTCTATTCATTTTCCGTTTCTACTCTGTATAAATTATTTAAAGTAATAATAAATAATTATATTTAATATAT